CGGGGAGCGCCCAATCCCGGGCGCCCCAGAGGGGCTCGGCCGCGTAGCAGGACTTCGGGACCCCCTGCCTCGCCCATTCCCAGGTCTTTCTCTGGCTGTCTCAGCCGCTCAGCTCCCCCCGACCTTCCTGGACGTGTAAACGCCACCCTACCCAGCCCCGATCCTGGTTTCATACCCCACCATCGAGTTCAGCCACAAAACCCACATCCCCCAACCACAGCTCCGCCGCAGGCTCCCCCTCTCCTTAGCCCGACCTTAGCCCGGATCCCCACCACCGTCACAAACCCTCTTCGCCTCATTCCCCCACGCGTCGCAGTGGCTTCGACTCCCGAGGCTTTGAATGTGACCACGGGCCTTGGTGGGAGGGGCCAAGTTCAGCTGTCAGAACCTCAGAGCTGGGAAATCTTGAGATTTCTTTTGAGCATTTAATTTTCTGACATGATTCTCAAGTGATAAACATTGGTTGCTGACCCGGGGCAGGGAAACTTGTGTCACTGTTGTCATGTGAGGGGTGTTTGGGGGCAATGGAGAGCCGTTGGATGCTTTTTTTTTTTGAGACAGAGTCTCGCTCTATCATCCAGGCTGCAGTGCAATGCCGCGATCTTGGCTCACTGCAACCTCCGCCTCCCAGGTTAAAGCGATTCTCCTGCCTCAGCCCCGCGAGTAGCTGGGACTACAGGGGTGCACCACCACGCCCAGCTGATTTTTGTATTTTTACTAGACGGGGGTTTCACCATGTTGGCCAGGCTGGTCTCGAACTCCTGACCTCAGGTGATCTGCTCGCCTCGGCCTCTCAAAGTGCTGGGATTACAGGCGTAAGCCACTGTGCCCGGCCTGGTTGGACGCATTTCTAGTCAAACACCTCCTCCTGTCCATGTCCTTCTCTCTCCTAGTTCCTGTTGCCTTGTTTTCTTCCTCTCTTCTAGAATGCCTGAGCCTGCCCTGACATTGCTTACCTGGAGAAGTAGGGAATGCAGAGGAAAGAAGATGAGATCTGGTATTAGGCGATCCGGCTTTGAGCCCCAGCTCTGCTACCGACCAGCCTGTTGACTTTGGGCAAGTCACTTCCTTGTTCTGAGCCTCTGCTTCCGAAGATGTCAAATGGATAATGATGCAATAATTCCTGGCCTCTACTCTCAGTGGGTTGTTGTGCCAGTTAAGTAAAACAAATGGCTAAAAGCGTCATGCAAAATGTTTTTCGTGATTACTGGCCCCACAAAGGCGAGCTGATGAGGATGCTGACATTTGCTGATAAAGTGACAAATCCTGGTATTTGCATAGAACATTCTTATACATTGTCTTTCCCCAAAATCTTTTATGAGATGATCTCATTGTCTGCATCTTGTGTTCAATGTAATAGAATGACTACATTGAGGGATCTTGGTCCTTCACAATTCTGTGATAAATAGCTCATTCATCATTCACTCATTTATTTACTGTGATTGGGATACTTAGATAGCAATTATTATTGTTTAACTTCGGTCAAGGAAACATTTTAATTTCATTTAAAAACTTAGTTTCCAAGTAGACAGAAAATGGAATATTATCATCCAACAAGCAAGTTTTTATACTATGTTTTGTAAGAAGATAACCTAGAATACACACTGGCTTTTATATTTAACAGTAATTCTTGATTAGTTTAGACTGAGGGATACAAGTATGGCTTTATTATGTCACTTTAAAGCTGACTTAATTGACATTTTCAACAGAAAAGTAGCTAACAGGTAAAGTTTGCCTCCAGTGAAATTTCTTGGATGCATTATTAAGTTATTATGTAATGCTGGGCAGCTTGTTCCATCTCCTTGAATTCCAAATAAAATGAGATCATAATAATGCTATTCTTATAACTTTCCTGTGCTCTAAAAGTCTCAGAGATGTTGTGACTCAGGGTTACAACCAAATAATGAAAAAATTATTAAATAAAGAATTAGTTTAAGTTAGGCATAGTGGCTGGCACCTATAGTCCCAGCTACTCAAGAGGCTGAGATAGTATGATGACTTAAGCCCAGGTGTTTGAGGCCAGCTTGGGCCATATAGTGAAACCCTTGTCTCTTTAAAAAAAGAAGAATTAATTTATTTTTCCTCTGCTTTCACCTAAACTTGTTCTACATCTAGAAGACCTTTTAATTAACCATATATATTTTTTAGCTTCACTTTTTTTCTACTTTCTCAATCTACTCAGTTATGTCATCATTTTGCCACTTCAAGTATTTAACTTTCCACTTGAAATATCTTCCTAATCCATTTTATATTTGTTGGCTCCTACAGTGACCTTGTTAGAGCTCTATATTCCAACAGTAAAGGTAGGAGGATTTTAAGAACCTCATGTTAAATTTTTTTAAATTAAGGTATAATTCACAGACCATGAAACTCATGCTTTTAAAGTGTACAATTTAGTGGGTTTTGGTACATTCACAAGCTTGACAACATCACTACTATCTAATTCCAGAATACTTTCATCACCCCAAAAAGAAATCCCATACCCAGTAGCAGTAACTCCCCATTCTTCCTTCCCCCAGCTCCTGGCAACCATAAATCTACTTTCTGTCTGTATGGATTTGCCTATTCTGGACATTTCATATAAATGTGATCGATCATACAATATGGGACCTCTTGTATCTGGCTTTTGTCACTTAATAGGTTTTCAAGGTTCATTCGTGTTGTTGCATACATCAGTACTTAATTCCTTTTTATGGCTGAATTATATTCTGTTGTATGAATATACCACATTTTATTTATCCATTCATTAGTGGAACGATATTTGGCTTGGGTCTACTTTTTGATTATGATGAATAATGCTACTACGAACATTTGTGTACAGTTTTTGTGAAAACATATGTCTTTAAATTATGTATGCACATGGGTACATACATATATCTAAGAGTGGAATTGCTTGGTCAAATGATGGTAACTCTATGTTCAACTTTTTTTTTTTTTTTTTTTTTGAGATGGAGTCTTGCTGTGTGCCCAGGCTGGAGTGCAGTGGCCCCATCCTGGCTCACTGCAAGCGCCGCCTCCTGGGTTCACGCTATTCTCCTGCTTCTGCCTCCCAGTAGGTGGGACTACAAGCGCCCGCCACCATGCCCAGCTAATTTTTTGTATTTTTAGTAGAGATGGGGTTTCACCATCTTGGCCAGGCTGGTCTTGAACTCCTGACCTTGTGATCCACCCTCCTCGGCCTCCCAAAGTGCTGGGATTACAGGCGTGAGCCACCGCACCCAGCCGAAAATCTGATATTTTAAAGGATAATGTTTAAACTTTTGTGTTTATATTTAGAATCTAGAGTTACAAGTTTTCATGCCTTTGAGTTCATCTAAGGAAAAATTAAGTTTTCTAGATGATTACAATGATGATAAATGTGAAAACAACCTGATTTAGAAAACTTTTTTGATCTTATATATGAACCCAAATCACAGTAATAACTGTGATTTAATGCATTTTTTTTTCACGTATTGATAAACTCCATATACACAAATTGAAAGTAAAACAGGGATGGAAATTATTATGGAAACATGGGTATATATATTAAGTATATAATCGGGCCAAGCGAGGTGGCTCATGCCTTTGGGAGGCTGAGGTGAGAGAATCACTTGAGGCCAGGAGTTTGAGACCAGTCTGGGCAACATAGTGAGATCCTGTCTTTACAAAAATGTTTTTAAAAAATTAGCCAGGCATGGTGGCTGTACCTGTAGTCTAAGCTACTTAGGAGGATGAGAAGGGAACCCAGGAGTTTGAGGCTGCAGGGAACTGTGATCGTACCCTTGCCCTCCAGCCTGGGT